GTAATTGTATGTTACTGTTACTTCATGGTCATTTATTCCATCTGCCTGGTTTGAGTCCTCAGAAAAGGCCTTGATAGCGCCTGCTGTGACGGAAAGGACACAGATTCGTTTTCAAGAGGCAATGCTTTCAAAAACAATGATGCTTTGTGGACTCTCTGCAAATACAGAGTGATCCATACAGAAGGAGTAGGGGATTTCTACTCCCAGAAAAAGAGATGTTACCAACCCGGATGAACCCTTCCACGTCTCTCAGGAGGTTTGCTTTCCTCTATCCTGTTTCACCGACAAGCTTCCTTCCAAACAATATCCACGGAGAAAATAATAGTAATAGCTAGACAAGAAACTCCCTTGAAGATGAGACTGATTGAGATTAATTCGTGATCAGAACCACCCTGCAGCTCTGATTTTGAGGGCTTCCCCGCAAGTTTACCCCCATTGTCTGGAAGTTTATGTTTAAAGCCTTGGATCTTTCCAGCGAAAGGATCGCTAAGAGGAGCAGGATGATCACATCATTCCCACTTGAACTCAAGGCGATGAGCACATTTGTTTGTCCTCATTAAGCATGGTGTTGCAGGCGCTGACTGACACGCGGAGGCAGCGCGCTGGGACGGGGCCAGGGAGCAGGAACCATGGAGTGTCGGGAGAGCTTGGCTCTACCCGGGCTCTGCCCCTGACAAGCTCTGTGGCCTTGGAAACTCAGATGCTTCTCTGAGATCTTGGGTAACTCAGCAATAAGAGTGATGTAGGTGGAGTTTTTCCAGCTGTGATTTCCAGAAGGCCCTGGGGTCCCAAGAAATGCCTGAGGCCACCGCAGGGGGTCAGAAGGCCAAACAGGGGCCATACCTACAGGACCATGCCTTCGTTTCAAACATGGTATCTCTGATCCTTGATGGATGCTGAGATCTAAGTAAGGCTGACTAGAGGCATGAGAGTCACAGGACTAGCTAACTTTAATGTTCTTTTTTTTTTTTTTAAGTCAGGATCTCACTCTGTTGCTCAGGCTGGACGGCAGTGATGCAATCAAGGCTCACCACAGCCTCGAACTCCTGAGCTGATGGGATCCAACCTCTTGAGTAGCTGGGACTCCAAGCACGAGCCCCACTACACCTGGCTCATTTTTTGATTTTTTTTTTGGTAGAGATGTGGTATCACTATGTTGCCTGGGCTGGTCTTCAACTTTTGGGCTCAAGCAGTCTCCCACCTCAGCCTCCCAAAGCGCTGGGATTGCAGGAGGGAGCCACCTCACCTGGCAGATCTTCATATTCTTGACTTAGCAAGGTCAAGCATAATAGTAGTTACAGGCACAGACTCTAGAGCCAACTTGCCCGGGTTCACCCTTTATCTCTTCTGTCTAGAGCTGTGTGACTTGGGCAAGTTTCTTCACTTCTCTATGCCTCAGTTTTCTCATCTGTAACACGGGAGTAATAACAGGGCAGATCTCATAGGACTGTCATGAGGATCAAATGAGTTCATAGATATGAAACCCTTCAAACAGTGCCCGCACGTTAGCAAGTGTTTCTTATTCTTACTGGCCCAGGCTAGCAGTGTGCTCCTGGGCCAGCGTTGCTCATAAAGTCACCAAAGGAAACGAGGAGCTCACTCATTCTGCATAAAGGTGCTTGGGGACATAGTTGGATTTCCTGCAAGTACCTTTTGAACAGCACTGTTGGTTTCTGATGCACATTTGGGAAGAAAAGCAGAACAGAAGGTGATAAATTCCTTTATGAGAGAACTTGGCAGAAAAGGCAGATGCAACTGTAAAGTTAATTGGTGAATGGGGGGTGGGACTTGTGGGCCAGGCAGGAGAGGGTTCTCGGCTCCCGCTAGTTTACTGTGATTAGTTCCTTAGGGCTTCTCTAAGACTGGTCCTGGGCAGCTGCCGGGCCTGTCTTCACCCAGACAGGGATGATGTCAGCATGTAGTTTATGGAGTTCTGCCGTCCTCCTGGGGATTCCAGGAGCTTCCAGAGCCGTCTCCAGGCTGCTTGCCAGCATGCTGAAAACAGAACCATACTTGCATCTTGTGTGTTCCAAGTTGTGTGTCTCTGTCATAATTTTTGTTGCTGTTCTCTGTACCAGGCTGTGAGAAGTAGCCTTGAAAGTTTCTTAAGCAAGACATTTCTCTAACCCTTCTGGGTTGCATCTGAGAATTCTCCTCCTTTTCACGATAACTTCTCTGATGCAGGAAGGGTCTAGAATGAGATAACACACTAGGGATATCCTGAGTTTAAGATGCAGAATGTATCGGGCATGGTGGGTCACACCTGTAATCCCAGCACTTTGGGAGGCTGAGGTGGGAGGAGCACATGAACCCAGGAGTTCAAGACCAGCCTGAGCCGGGCTCGGTGGCTCAGCCTGTAATCCC